CAACTCCCAGAAATCCTGGCCAGCAGAGGTGCTGGTGAAGGCTTCTGGGAGTTGTAGTCCAAGAACATCTGGAGGCCCAAGGTTGGGGACCACTGACTTAGATCACAGATGGGCAACCTCTGCAGCATTTCTCTGTGTTGCAGGAGGTTACTAGAGCATCTTCATAGGCCACAGAATCCCAGGGACCAGCAGGAGGGGAGAGCCAATTTACATGTTAGAATAGTAGAAAGAAAAGAGAAGGGGGGGAGTCATCTGTGCTGTGACTCTGGAAGCCACTGCCACTGAGTAAGTGGTGGTAGGAGGTGCTGAGGGCTATAAAATGGGTTCGAGAGATTGCCCGTGGCCTTTGCTGGTGTGTCAGGAAAGATTAACCAAAGTTAGCAGGAAGATAAACTGTGGAACAAATTAAGGCATAGCCATCCCCAAAGCATGTGTTCCCAGTTTTCAGGAGTACATGCTGCTGGTTGGATCATGATTCAGTCAATCCATTCCCTTTTCCTCAGGTGTAGGAAAAAGGCCTGCTGCAGTTATTGCTGAGCTGGACAACTTCAAAACATCTCCAGATGTTTTGGCCAACCGTTCCTATCATCTGTAGTCACAGCAGACATTCATCAGAGACAATGGGAGCTGTAGTCCAGAAACATCTGGAGAGCCATAGTTGTTCTTCCCACCCCTTGAATTAGAAAACATTCTTCTGCCCTGCATGTTTTAAGAATATTGTTCTCTCCATTATTGCATTACTTGTATCAAGGGCAGAACTCAGAAGTCAGTGGGAGTGGAGCAAGGAGCTTAAGGTTGGCAATCTCTATCTCAGGCTGTCTTACTGCCACACCCTAAAGTATCAAGATTAGGGTCATCTCTGATTTCTAGCATAAGATGCTTTGCATCAATGCATCAGATAGGAACATCAATTATTCTTTTAGTCCAGTTCCATGTGTTTGTACATTTTTGTATGTGTGAGCTCATCCACTCCTTTGTAACAGTAGAAATGAGCAATTTTATAATGCTGATCAAAATCCTGCTGAGATTTGACACACATGCAAGAATAATCATATAAGTTTCTGCAATCAATTGTAGCTAATTCTTGTGATGCCTGTTATGTATCTAGATACCTTGTGGGCCATGTGATCAGGAGCATGATTGGGAATAAGACTGGACATGACACCTCATGGATGAGCCACAACAGTTTATACAAGTTTTACACAGTAAAATCCCTACAAGATTTTGGCCACTGTCAAAACAATTTACTCTGCATCACTTAATATTTAAAATGAAACAAGTAAATGATGTTATTGTAGTTGGAGAGACAGGGGGGGGGAACACCTAGTCAGCATCTATGAAACTCAAACTTTGCAGGGTGGACTTTCCCATTAGTTTTCTTTTTCTTGAGTTGTTTCAGATTTACTTGAGAAGTATCTGATTGCTTAAAATGAACACCACTTGTTACCACACAACACATTAATAAGATGGGCGATCCACAGCATGTCATTGTAAAATATTCACAATTCTTAGTGACTGATGTGTTATTTTGATTTCAGTCAGCTTTTTTGGTGATCATTTGAGACCTGGAGCTTAATTTTCCAGGAACATTGTGAAGTATGGCCAGCCTCAATAATTGTTCTGGTGGGAGTTGTGGCCAGAAGCATTATTATTATACTGTACCTTTAGACTAGAATCTGATTCTTTTCTTTAGTTTGACCCAGAACATCTTCTACATGTTGAAATGTTTTGACATCCTCCCACTTTTCTTGTGGACTATAAATGCTATCTGATTAGATCAAAATCAAGCCCTGCTCTCTCTCTCTCTCAATCTCTCTCTCTCTCAGACAAATATATGTAGTAATGTGCAATAAAGATTTTGGCCCCTTATACTGGGAATATTCCAAATGGAATCTTGTAAATGTAGAGGTAACATGAATCTTGGTTGTCTTAAATGATAGATGGTTCCTATGCAACAATTTAGAAGGGCTACACTTTAAGGCAACAACATATGCACTTAGGTTTTCCGACACGTCTTGCTTCTTTGAGGCAATAGGTCCCCCCATTCATGCTTCGAAAACTCTTTGGATGTCTGAGTTAAAACTGAAGTTAGAAGACTGCCCTCAGAGCTTTTGAAGAGGTGGAAGTGGAAAGAGAAAGCAGGAAAGGCATGACAACACTTCTGTCCTTCTTGTAGCTGAGTAATTTGAAAACCCAGAACTCCAGTGCAGTCTGTGAAATGGAGACATGAGAAAAGCAAATGAAAATAGCATGGAAAGCATTTCTCACTGCTTAGCAACATATTCTCTTCTCCCAAGGTGCTTAGCAACAGGTGATCTTTCCTTCCTAGGTTGCAGGCTCTAGATTCCTCGTAGTAATGGAATTTGTGTGGCTTGAGGATTGTATGGGATTTAATAGTACAGGGGATCAAAACTCAATCCAGACTTAAATTCCAAATTTCTAACTCGATTGATCTGGAGAAGTTCCTGCAAGTGATGTGCAAAG